AAAGGAATAGATGTAGACATATTTTAGAAAATGTTGAAAAGGTTTTTGCTTTGTTTTGAGTTCCTGAATAGTTGTCATTTATTCACAAAGCCCCCTGCAATTCTAAATTTAGCTTTGCAATCAAATGACAGCACAGTTAATATACATAACTGGTTTAAGATGGATTCAGTTACTATCAGTGTGGTCTCCCTGATATGAACAAACAGTATTGCCAATATCCCAAGACCACTGAAGTGCATGTGCTGACAGTGCACATGGATTTGGCCCCACTCCACTTGTAATACAATTGATATTGATCAAGTGCACAGACAAGGTAAGACAAATTGAATCCAGACCTCACCAGTAGTCAAAGAGCGCCAAATTCATTCTCAGGACATCAAGCTGGCGGGCTCCAATTCATTCATTGCTGTCTCTCTCTGTCTGGCAGAAGTTCAACTGGCACCTGACATGTAGACAGCCTGTCATCACTTCATGTGACTGGCAACATTCCTAGTTATTAGGGACTAATAACTGCAGTGTGCAGAGCTAAGACTCTGGTCGAGATCCCCATTGGGCATAGCAGCTGGAGAGACCCACAGTTGGGAAAACGCATGTGTAGAGGATGAAAAAGGTGTGTATGTGTCTGTGAAAGGAAACAAGACAGAACCAAACAAATAAATTATCCAATCCCACTTTTCAGAAAAAAATTACAATTACAATTATGTTATTTGTTTGTTTTGGCCATTGGGTACAGGTAATACCACAGATAGATACAATATATCAACATCAGCACATATTCACTTATAACTGCATGTATTAAATGTACGCAAATACATTTTCACACATACTGTACATACACAAAAATAACTTAATAGTCCTACTTGGTTTTTGAACTTAATACATTTGCTGTATTCCGGGGCATTCTTTGGTCCCTAATTTCTCCCAGCAGTAAGTTAGTGGAGCTGTTTTCCTTGCCCTCTCACAAACACACAGTCTGCATCTCATTAGCTGTACCCTACTTTGTCTTCACTGAACTGTGTTCTAATAGAAGCTGACTGGCTCTGTGGCTGTCAGTGCTCAGCAGCTAGCCCTTATTATAAAAATGGCTCTGCACACTCTGATGAGGAGGATCATTTTACTACACAGGGACCTGGCCACAACAGACAACACTTCACTGAGACGGGGAGCGTCACAGGAGCCGACAGCGACAAGATGTGTGACAGCAGTTGGGAGGGGATTAGGAAGAAAGCACATTAAGAGGAAGACAAAAGAAGAATGTGAAAGGAAAGCGCAAAACAATGGCTATAGATCATGAAGAAGAGGGTCTCAGGCAGGCAGAGCTGTCAGGTTTTCCCTGTGTGAGCTTTCATTATGCAGCTGTCTCTGGTGGCTGCGCTTGCAGAATTATATTAAGTTGCCAACCACAGTCATAAGAACAAAGAGAATGCCCCCTGGCTCTTTTATCACAGTGTTTGTTTAGAAAGTGTGAGGAGGTGCGGTCACACACACAGATCAGTGAGGAATGGCCATACACATATAAAAGCTATAGTGTATAGTAAATAGTGACTGTACAGAGAAAATGGTAATGGTGAAAGGGCACAAGATTAACTGCTTCATACTCATGTCATCATTATAAAATACTTATGTTATTAGCCTCTGTCAAAAAGTTAGACTGCAGTATTATAGGTCATTTCCTCAGTTACAGATTTACCCAAATGAAATTCCATTGTTTCATACATTAGCTGACCTTTTATTTAATATACAGTACTGTGGCAAATTCTCCTTTTCCCTCAGTCTGACCAAAACCTGTGCACGCACTTTTGTATAAGACTGTATGATGAAGTTCTTCTATTCACTTTCTTCTGTCCCTTTATATAACCCACAGCTGTCTTCTTACTTCCTCCAACAGCTGTACCAGTCCACATGACTTCTCTTCATTCTCTCCCAAAGGCACCTTTGATCATCTACTCATCTTGCCTCCAGCTCTGATCTGCTTCTTCTGACCACAGACGCCTTCAAGAAAGGAGGTGATTCTCTTTTCTTTCTTTTTCATCTCATCTTCTGTCTGACTGTGTCCAGTGCCCTCTTGTTAACATCATATGTTTTCTACTCTTAGCTTTCTTGCTCCTTACTGGTTTTCTCAGGTCTACAGGAGGCACCAGGAAGTTTCTTCCATTTCCCCCCGTTAAAGGTTTTTTTGGTGTATGTGGTCTTTTCTTTATCCAACTTGAGGGTGTAAGGACAGAGGGGGTTGTATGCTATCCAAATTTGTAACTTGTGATACTGGGCTAATTAAATAAAAACAAGCCCAGTCTCATTCATGGGATGGCAGTGAAAGTCTGTTGGCCCTGCATGTCTTTTACAGATGTATTATTTTTATTCATTTCTAATTTAATTAGCTGCACAAATCAAATCCTCGTTATGCCAGGCTGAGAAACTGACTATCATTGCATTGTCTCAAGATTATATATGGCCAGACCCAATGGCAACATTTAAAATAGGGGAAGATAAAAATGCATTAACTCAAATGTCCAGTAAGAACAAATCGAGTCAGTATAGATAGAGATAATGTGGAAACACATTGCTGTTGTTGCCAGTCAGAACAAAATGTATTATCTGTGTTTGTAATTGAAACCATGGGCATATTATTCTTCAAGGTGCTGGTGATACATATCAGGATTCAGGTTAACTGCAGGCAGTCATCAGCCTCCATCTGTGGAGTATGAAATAACAAAACGATAAAGACAAATCACTTCCTTCTGCAGATACAATTATGTTGTATGAGAACAAATAATACCACATAATGCTACAGGGTGAATGCATGTATGTGCACTGATTTGTACTGTGCACTCGACTGTGCATCATTTGTCTGGTGATGTCCCCTGCAGTGCACAGTGACTGTGAACTATGCTTTACACTTACAGTCATTGCACTTCAATTCCTCATCCACAATGCCTGTTTCACAACCCTACTGCTCCACTAAGAACTTTCCTAAAGCCCTACGCTGTCTGAACACCGAATGCCTGGAATTATGCTCATTGCCATTCTGTGAAAATACACAGACAGCTCTTGAATACCTACATGGAGGTAGATATAGGTTGCAGAGGGTCACACACAGCCAAAGCTCCCACCTCTTTCTGTCAGGAGGCTAAATAATAGTTTCTGTGTGTGGGGGGGAAACAGACACGTGAATGATTCATGAGCCCACATGCATCATTGTCAACTCTAGTCATGTTCCAGCCAGCTTCCACTGGGTCAAGTCTTACATAGCCACAAGATTGCTTATCACAGTTGTGCGGATGATATTCAGATTTATTTAGCACTTACTCACAATGGTTACTCCCCCCGTTAAAAAATCTTACAGTGTCTGGATCTAATAAGCAACTGGCTAAAAGAACTGAGCACATCACACCCCTGCCCTGAAATCACTGCACTGGTTGCTACTGATTAGATTTTAAAATACTTATGTTGGTCTATAAATCTCTTAATGGTCTGACACCAAAATATATCTCTGACCTCCTAGTTGTCTTTTATTGTTTTATTTGACTTTTAATCTTTTGTATTTTGGATTATGGTTTTACCCGATGTGATATGTGTGTGTTTGATTCTGTTTTACTATGTAAAGCACTTTTATAGAACACAAGAGGTGCTCTCTTAAAAAAAAACTGACCTACACCGTTACTGAACCCAATGAACTTCTCTTTATGGATCCTGTCTTTGTCCAGCTGATACAAAATTAGCCAAGTGTTGGATTTGTAGTTCCAGTGTGATCTTTTAGCCTTTACCTCTTATGTGAGCTGATCAGCTTTCCTAACATCTCTCAAGTTAATGTATTGCACTGTCAGTGTCCTCTAGACTCTGCAGGACAACATTAGCTCAGCTCTACTCTAATTCTACATTGCAGGCATCACAGATGCTGCTAACTTCATAAGCTACCACAAACACTTCAGCACCATCTGCTGCACTTGGCAAAACAAAGTGACTTGCTTCCCACCAGCTATTGAGGAAGAAGAATTTGTAGACTGTTTTTGCAGAACAAAGACCCTAAAGCCATTTTCAGTGCAAATTTGCTCCACACACTTTGACAGTTACCCAGAAACATGCAGGTTAGTCAGGGCAGCAGAGATGTTGGGCTTCATTTGTAATTGTTTCCTCATTTCCCATCCATCAAGACTCCGCTGGGACTTCGCTGGCACTGTGGTCAGTATCCATAATGAAGCTGAACAGCCCTGAAGTTGCAACTGCTTCAGAGCTTTTTGGATATTGGTTCTGTTTCTCTTTGTTTCTTCTTGTCATCTAAGAACATTTGGTTTTGTGTAGGAACTTGACAGAGGTTACCATTTGGCTCTAAGTTATTGTTTACTATTTAAATGCTAAAAATTAGCTACTACAATATGTGAAACTTATGTTTCTGGGGGTTGATGTGAGGGGAATGCAGTGGAACAGGTTCAAAAGAATTACAAGCCCGTTAAATTGGCAATATAAAAAAAAAATCGCCTGCACTTTAATAAAAACACAAATCACAGTCTCTGGTGTAATAAAGTCACCATGCTGTTTAGGAACGCACCATCCAGTTAGCGCACTATACCACGGTTAAACCTTTACTAGATAGAATTAATTATGCAATAAGAGGGACGACCGGCAAACAGCACATGACATGTATAAACATGATTGTTTCCACCATGGTTAGAAACAGCACATTATGTTACAGTAAAGTAGCTCGGACAAACTGCAAATCCAGGTTTTTAAATGGAAGAAAACCAGAACCTCATTTTACTTCAGAGCTTTTGTTATGAAGCTCATTCACGCACTATTGCACACACTCAGGCGGGTGTGAAAGTGGTACATGTGAAATAATTTCTGTCGAGGACATGATGACTGGTGCATGAAATGCCCCCCCAACGCTCATATCTGTGAGCGGGTGTTCATCAACAGGAGAGAGAAGCCGCGGCTGGCCGGTCATGATGAAAAGGGCTTACACAGCGTATGAATATTTGAAGGAGTTGGGACTTGGGATATACATTTGCCCACGGCATGCCTATTGGTGTATTGGTGACGTGATGACTCGGAGGAGTTGGGCTCAACACTTTATAAAGCTTCTCTGTCCGCGGCGAGCCATTCTTTTTAAAGAATACTGGTGCGGAAACTTCTCATTCAGCAACTAACGTGCTGGAAGCAGACGAGAAACCTCAACATTACCGGCCATCATGAGCGAGGTAGGACTATATTTTAAAACTAAGAAACGCCGGGGAATAACCCAATTACGCGCGGTCTGTGCGCTAATGCGCACAGGGAAATATCATTAATGAGAGATGCCGTTTTTTTGTTAACTGATAAGATTCCATGCAGTGACAAATGCTGCACAGCTGCTGTGTCAAAATGTGCCGAACAGCATCAGTGTAGGACACCTGAGGGCGCATCAGTGTGGTGGTCTACTGTCACTTATCGGAGAATAGTCATCTATCGGTGGATAAAGGCAGATCTTTGTTTTACTATAGTGATTCAAACCTACTCCACACTCAGACATCTGAATTACAGTATACTGTGTTGTCTGACAGTAGGTACACTGTGGCTGAAAGCGAAGTGCACCGTGGACCAGTTAGGGTAAAGCATTTTTTCGTTA